TAAGACTGATTCGGCACCTTCAGCTGATCTGCCACCCAGATGGCTCAGTGAATAAAGCGTGTGCTCTTAACAACAAAGCTGCTAGCTCTACTCCCGCATGGGATGGTGGCTACGCCCACCCGCAACTAAGATTGAATGCAGCACCTTGAGCTTAGAGGCCACGAGCTGCTGATGGGCAGCCAGATGGCAACTGGCGCCCTCCACAACTAAGATTGAAGAACAACAACTTGGCTGGTCCCCCTCCCCAATTCCCCAACATTGTTCCCTTCCCTCAATTCCCCAATAAAATCTTTTTAAAAGAAAAAGTATTAATTAAATAATCAGGCCCCTTCCGGCCCTGAAAGGCTCCGATACTGACAATAGGAATTGCCTCCTCAAGGAGAGAGATTTTAATGGCACTGATGGACGTAGGAGCCCAGACCTAGTACTGGGGAATGTGGGAAGCTCCACGGTGGAGTCCACAGGAAGATGGATGCATAGAGGAATGACAAAACATAGGCATGAGATAGTAAGTAAACTTTTTCGGGGTCACGCCGATAGTGAGCAAAAGTAGTCCAGCCCCAGAACAGCTCCATGGAGGCACAGGGTCCCCAGGCAGAATACCGTGTAAGGAGACACGGAGGTGGGAGAGTACAGGACATGTCCAGAGGACAGCAGGGGCCTGGCTTTAGCTGAATCTAGGACAGCGGCGGCAGATGTGCAGCCCAAGGGCCATGACGTTCCTCCTTCTTGCATTCATCACAGACGTTGTTCAGCTCAGCAGTGTCTCTCTGTGAGCTGAAATGAAACCTCAGAATTCATTTGAACACACCAACTAATCCAAACACGTGGGTGTAGTGGGGGCTGATGGAGTGAAGGTTACGGAGCACTGTAATTGGCTACTGAGGAGTCTGAGCTCTGCTCTTCTCAGATAGAGAAGAGCCATAGCCAGTTTTGAAGTTCAAATACAGAATGGTGTTTACCTGGGCAGAGCAGCAGTTACACATTAGGTCTTGAGTGGTGCGATCTGTCTTGGTTCTAGAAAGTGTTTTTAGTAACCCTCGTTTGGTTCTGTTATTAAAACTAGAGTCTGGTTCATCTGGCCAAGATGTAGAAGCACGCTGGGCGCTCCCAAGAATTCCCGCAGCTTCCTTTTAGATACAAAGTTAATTTTTTCCCTCCATGAAACCCCTAAAAGAATTTTGCTTAATAAGCCACATACTCCCTCCAAAGTTAAAATTCATATATACTTTTTCATCATAAGGATGTAATTTCTAATGTATTATAAATATTGACATTTGAAAATAAAACTGCCCCATCACTCCCAAATATATCCAGTGCATTTTGAATACCATCGTGATTTATACCGATTATCACTATTTTAAAAATACATGAATGGGCTCCTTTTTAGCAGTTTTTACACTTTATCTTTTCCCCCTTTAACTTATATAACTCGTAACTTTTCAGTCTACTCCCCCATAGACTTTATTTCTAATATAAGGCATTTTGTGCTTGAGTCTGTTGTTAGATCACTTTGTCATATTCACTGCAACAAAAGTATGTGAATCACATTGTGTGTACGTATTGTTATTTCCTTTAGAAATAAATCTCTAAGTGTTAAAAGTTCTCTCCAATAATTGTTTCATAATAATTATTAGTGCACTATTGATCAAAACAAGATATTATAAGTGTTGATAAAGTATTTTTAATATTTATTGGAAATAGATGGATTCAGTTTTTAAACACATTAGTTCTTGGATGAATATTGTTCTAATGAGCCCATGCTCTGTATCAATTTTATTTTTGTTCATTTATTCGTATATATAAGTGCTCAGAAACCTTGCTTACAGATGAACAAGTAGATGGGAATGATAGTTTTTTACAGTGTTACCTAATTATTTGAATTTCTTGCATATACCAAAAATAATAATTTATCATTGGACATATTTTCAATAATCTATCAGATACACCTTCACTATCTCCTCCCCCAGTTTTGTTGAAAGCAGAGATTGGGAAAGCACCTGACGTGCATAAAGCTCTTATCGTGACCTTGGCTTTAGTCACTTTGTCAGTATCCACACTGGTGTTTTGAATTGACCCTTTGTTTGGGTTTGTGCATCTGGGCAGTGCTGCCTCGCTGCATTCCAGGTGAGAGAGAAGGATGCCTTTGTCTGAAGTGAGAGGAGGGCGGTTGTGAAAGGGAAGGTGGAGGAAGAGGGAGAACTGTCCCATCCACTCAAGAGCTCATCCTTAGGCAGATGAATTTTAGGGAAGAAAACACGAAAACTGAGGGTTTGGGAGTGAGTTCCCTTAACACTGTTGGAGTCCATGTGCCCTTAGGAAAGCCTTTGCTGTGCACACCCCAGTTTGCACACTACAGACCTACAAATCTTGCCTGCCAGGCCTGCATCTGGGCACTGGGCAAACGCAGGAACAGTCAGGGCCCTATGGGGTCTGGACTGGCCGTGTGGGGAGGGTCAGCCTGGGAGCCGAGCAGACACCTTCCGGGTTCTGGCAGTCAGCTTTGGGCAGTGAGCTGGCCTGCGAGCTGCTCTGGTGACTTAAATCATGCACAAATGACTGTCCTTGCCCTCCAGTTTATAATCTCAGCTCTTATAAAACAAAACGACTCCCCCCCCCACCACCAAAAACAAAACAAAACAAAAAAAAACCAACCCTCTGGGAGATCTTGTTATTTAGTATGTTAATAAAGAACATATATCTGCCCTTTTTTAATGTTTTGATAACTGGATTTCAGCATACCTGGTTTCCTTTTTAATCCATATATTTTATTTTAAGCATTTAAAAAATGTCTTTAGAAGAGGTTAGGCTTTACCAGGCTGCCACAAAGGGTCCACAGCACAAAAAAGATGAAGAGCTGTGTTCTGAGTGCTGGCCTCTCCCACATAACCACAGACGGTCTCCAAAGAGTCCTTGGTGACAGTTTCAGTAAAGGGGTTTCATGGAAGGATGGCAGAGCGTGGGTGCTCTGCAGGACTGTGGGACGACCTTATTGGCTCAGTGTGGACAGCAGAGGCGTTTAAAATGTGTGGTAGACCGTCAGGCCTCAGACCTGATGTTATCAGGCATTAGCTGAAGGATATTAGTGTCTCCTGTAATCCAGTTTACTGTCTGCAGTAGGGAATCCCACCCACCTGCCCCGCACATCTGCCAGGGGCGGGGTTTCCCGGGGTCACTGACCTTTGCCCCTACTCTACCCCAGGAAATCCTTCTAGAGGGAGAAAACATTCATTATCTCCAGATTGTTTCACAGCAATTGAGAATGTCCTTGGTTTTAGTATTAAGTAACGTGGACCTGTGCCTTCCTAGTTATCCTTTGGTTTGTTTCTTGAATAATTCCACAGTCATTGTTTTCCTCCTGGTGCTTCCTTGGGCAGGTGATTTGCTGATGCTCCGGGCCCCCTGACTTGAAGCCCCCCTGACTTGAAGCGCCGGAGCTGCATTTCGATCAGGTTTCTAGCATGCTGCTGACTGTCTCATTTACAGTATCACATTTCTGTTGCCATACACTGTGTGATCTGGGCCTCCCCACAGCTTTTGAACAATTAGTAATTGAGCAGGAAGTGTTTTTATTACAGTGGCCTTTTGATTTTGATTTTACAATCGTGTAGTGTTTAGCAGAGCAGAGGTGGGGAAGTGGCTCTCTGCAACACATTTTTGACAGAGAGAAGTCTGTTGTTTCAGCCACTTGGCTATCTGTCAGCAGTTCTCACACTTCCCCCTTGTGCTGGTTGCCTGGCAACCTGGGGCTGCAGCAATCAAACCGTGGCCAGTGCTTTTCCAAGCCCAGATTGGGAGATGATTTATTGGTGGAGCTGTAGGCACGGTAAACCCAAGCCTCAGAAATGGACCTGTTTTTCCTTTTCTAAACCAGGAGTTTATACAAACCACATCAAGAAAAAAGAAAAGACAAAGAATATCAGTTGGAGGGCTCTGTTGTAAAAAATTTTAAAGAATAAAATAAAGGCCTGTAGTGATCTTGTTATTATGTGTCTGCCCACATATGTCCAGGTTCATATTTCCATGTGGGTTATTACTCTTTTTCTTTTATTTTATTGGCACACTCAATGTTTTAAGTTAGTGCTTTTATCTGGTAAACTAGGATTCTTGGAATGCCATCTTCCTCTGAGAACTCAGCCCAGGGAACGTTAATGGCTTGCCTGGGGTCATCTGTGAGCCCGATAGAATCAGGGACAGAGCCCGAGCGCCTTGCCTGGCGCCGGTGTCTATGCTCCGGGCTGAACGCAGTGAGCAGAAAACGCGGGAACATCCAAGGGCCTGCCTTCCTGTGCTGTTAACAGGCGTGTCAGTAGGTCTTCTCTTCACGTGGGCATGCGTTCATGTATAGAGAAGGGAGCTGTCATCGTGGGACAAGGGAATTCTGAACTTTCAGATTCTTGCCACTGTCTCCTTCTGCCCACGTGGCTGCCTTTGGCCCCCATCCCCCAATTTAACTGTGAAAATTATCCGGTATTGCTTCACTTTTACTATAAAAGTGAGTCGTAAAGCCCTTTTTGAGGTTTCCCCTTTCATAGAGTCTGAAATAATGTCTCCAATACAGCAAGTGAGGAGAAAGAGAAATTTATTTGGGGGGCATTCTGCATGGGAGGAGGGGGCATAAGAACCGCAGTCTGACTTAGCAGGCTAAGCATTTTTTAAGCATTTCTTTTTATAAAATTTTTAAGGAAATACTTGGGAACTCAAGCTGTACTCCACATGCAGCCCAGCGTATCCAACTGTGTATGTAAATGCACTATTAGTATGTTTGTATGCCTTATAAACATACAGATCTAATCTGTTTGCGTGTGTAATTTACACACAGCTGTGTTCCTTCTCCCTTAATACCAATATTTTCAGCCAGAGGGAGGTATCGTGGCAGCGCTATTGTTCCAAACAAAAGCCAGCAGAGCGGCCTTGCGGTGGGGCCTGTCACCAGCCCTGATGTGGGGACTTTCCCTGGAGAGACCCTCTTCTGGTGGCCGCCTCCATGGGGAGAGATGAATCCAAACCGGTGCCTGTAACAGAAAGAAGACAATGGCCACCGGTTTGACGGGAATCTGCCTTTTGACAGAGGTTTGCCTTCTGTAATTGAAATACCCTCCCTGCCCCGACATTTCCTGAAGGGATAATTGATTTCCCTCTCTGTCTGGAGATCCCTTAACTTAACGGGAACAGAGTTAAATGACAAGGCCTGGCCCTTGTCCTGTTGTGGTGAAGGAGGAACCTGGCCCAGGAGCCCCTCTGCAGCAGGAGCTGGAGTGAGCCCCTGGTGCTGCTCAGGGCCAACATTTCCCCTGCTGGGACGTGGGGCAGATCCTAACAGCTTCAGGATCGGGCTGAATTCTTTTGGAAGACAGGTTTCACTTAATTCGCAGTAACAGGACTATACAATATCATTGTCCATAATTCTAACAGTGTATTTATTTTTATCTCCCTAGTAGAAAACTTTTAGTGCTTTGGGTGTGTTAATACTTTACAAAAAAAAAAGGAAAGATCATTCTAGACCTGTGCTATCTGAGCACTGAAATGTGCTAGCCCAAGTCGAGATGTGCTGAAAGTGTAAAATACATACTGAATTTCACGGAGTAGGAATAAAAGAATGTAAACTGTTTCATTAATAATTTTTATACTGATCACATGTTGAATTGATAATATTTTTAGATACAGTGAGTTAAAATGAGCATTAGAGGTGCCTCTATTATTAAAATCGGTTTTATCTGTGGTTTTTTTTTTTTAATTTGGCTACTAGAAAATTAAAGTTACATATTTGGCTCCCATTCCATTTCTATAGGGCAGCCACTGATCTAGACTCTTAATTATAATTTTTTCAAAAGGCTTCTTCATTAAAGATTTCTACTTTTTTGGTCCCTTATAATTTATAGACAAGTCACATTTTTTTCAGTTTACTCCTCTTTCCTTCTGTGCTGAGATCTACTTTATTAAAGAAAGTGAACTTTTTAATGACTTGTTTCTGAGCCACTTCACAGGGACATTTGTGAGGAGCCTCTGTGGTGACTTCTCAGGGAAAGGAGGAGTCGCTAATGCCCGTTCGGATTCTGTTATTAGTGTTGGGTTATTTTTAATTAGGGCGTAACTGGGCAGCCACAATTGGCAAGAGATATTTAGCTGGCGGTATTTCTACATCTGTCAATGCTGCTGCTTAAACTAGCTTGTTCTCATCTGACTTGAAGTGCATTGAAGCATGCTCTGATACTCACCCCGTGGCAATGCTGTGTTAAGCCATAAGGAAAGGACGTCAGCGTGCTCAACGTAATCATCTAGACTCGGGCATTGACACAGAGATATCTAGGATGACTAACTTGCTTTGCTAGTGGACCCAGTTGCTATGTAAACCATCCGACATGAGGTCATTTTCCTATTGAGCATGTGGTCTTTGAATGAAAAATGGAGTAATTTTATTTGACATTTGAGACAACCTGGGAAGGGTTTAGCACACAGGTGTGTTGAAAAGTTTAATCAGCAGCTTCACCTGGGTGCTGAGCTGGCATCATGGAGTGGGATGGTGGGATGGCAGTGGTTTCTCTACTGGGATTTGTACGTTTGAATGGACAGGAAAGCTGGTGTTAAATAGTTTTGTAAGTAGTACTGAGAGGGTCAGAAACAACCATGAACACATATCGAGAGACCTTGAGCCAAGCCGGAGGGCAAATGGCTGGGAAGACCAAGCTAGCCTACCGCCAGATTCATTCATTCATTCATTCATTCATTCATTCATTCAACCAGTGATTGTTGATCACCTGCTATATGTTTCAAGTGCTGTTTCAGGTGCTGTTATAGTAGACAATAAATTTCCTCACATATTTAGTATTATAGGTGTCATGTCATGTGTGTTAAAGCGGAATGAAGTTATAGGGAGTGATAGGGCCTGCAGATTGAGGAAGTCTAATTGAGGGGTTGTTCGCTGGTTCATTTAATTAGTAGTTGACTAACATTGTGATAGTTTTTAGTGTCTTTTTTTTTTTTTTTAGAGGGCAGTGTCACTGGCCCTCATATATGGGATCCGAACCGGAGCCCTCTGGCGTCCCAAGCCAGTTCTTAACCATCGTGCCACTCGGCCGGCCCCTTTAGTGGCTTTTGTAATGAATCTCATTGGTTTCCTACTGCTGCATAACAGATTACCCCCAACAATAAAAATTACCTCAACTTAAAACAACAATGATCATTTATTATCTCTCACGGTTTCTGTGGGATGAGAATTTAGAAATGGCTCATATGTGCAGTTCTGACTTGGGGTGTTCCTTTCATGAGGTTGCAGTCAGATGGTAAGACGGGGTTGGAGTCCTCTTGAAGACTCCTTCATTCATGAGTCTGAGCTAGGAAGACTCAAACATCTTCTGAGGCAGCTCTATCCTGTGTGATCTTCCCAGCATGGTGGCTTAGGATAGCCATCCCTCTCACTATGTTGGCTCAGGGCTCCGTGTCTGGAGAGGGACAGCCAAGCAGAAGCCATGTTGCTTTTTATGCCCCAGCCTCAGAAGTCAACCAGTGTCACTTCTGTCCTGTTGGTCAAGACAGTTACAAATGTCCACCCAAGCGCAAGGGCAGGGAACAGAGATCCACCTCTCCATGGAGAAGTGACTGCACACTGTAAGAGCAGCATGTGGGATGGGATGGAAATATAATGTCACAAATAGAAAACTCTTGTGTGTGTGTTAGTCGATTTTGTTTTAAATAATGTAGGATCCTTGTCTATAAAATAAGAGTTTTCACCAGCTTCCAACTCTGACATTCTCTGATTCTACTCTTACAGATGTGGCAGGGAGTAAGTGTGGACAGGTGCCTGGCTTTCGCAGACATTTCTGGGGCACATCAGCAGAGGAGTCAGCTGGAGTAGGAGGACTGCTGGACTCCTTGCCGGCCTCAAACTCAGATACCTTAGGACCTGGCACTTCAGTCACCCTTTGTGTTACAGCTACTCTTATGGGGGCTAAAACCCTTTGTGGCTCTAGAGCAGCGGTTGTCAACCTTCCTAATGCTGCGACCCCTTAATACAGTTCCTCATGTTGTGGTGACCCCCAACCATAAAATTATTTTCTTTGCTACTCTATAACTGTCATTTTGCTACTGTTATGAATCGTAATGTAAATATCTTTTTGTTTTCCGATGGTCTTAGGCGACCCCTGTGAAAGGGTCGTTCGACCCCCAAAGGGGTCGCAACCCACAGGTTGAGAACCGCTGCTCTAGAGCTAATCTTCTAGAGGAGGAGGGTGGGTAACACACTGATCGAAACCAGGAGCTGTCCATTATCATGATACTTGCGAACTAAGGAAGGTAGAAGAATCAAGGTGGGACCATCCTAGACCTCCCTTCCTTAGTTCTCTTCTCATACTCTTTGACCTTTGGAAGATTAGGAAGGAAAGGAAGCGGGAAAGAGAACGCTTTGGTATCACTCCTCCATGACAGCTAAATAGCTACGGTATTGGACTCCAGATAGGACTTGTGTTAGAAATGGGCAGGCTTGGATTTGGGCTGCTGTTTTAAGTACCATTGAATCTTTTGGGATGAGGCAAGGAAACAGGTCTTTTTTGCTAAAACTATGATTTATTTAATATTAAAGGTATCTTTGACTAATCTGAATTTCCAGATAAGACAGTTGACAAAATATATCATGCGTTAATAGGGTCTCCTGTTGGATAGAGTTTAGCCATCCTCTTGTCTTCGTGTAGGAAAGAGGCTACCTCCCTAACTGCTGCAGTTCCTAGGGGTGGAGAACTGGAGAAATCAGTTGAGGCTTTATAGATGGTGGAAGGCCCAAATGCCCACCTTACACACGGCATGTGGAAGCCCTGAGAGGGGGCTAGTGACCTGTACAGGGGGTGTAGTTCTTTAGTGCAGAGCCATGTACTGTAAGCCAAGCTGTTTTATGGAGAATTGTTAACATGGATATACAGTATAAAGTCTCTGACACATGCTTTTGCTTCAAAGAGCAAGTATTTATTTGTGTATATGTAAAATTTCCTTTTGAGGTTTTTTAAAAAAAGAAATACAATACCCTTTAATTCCTTTGATATGAGTAGATACAAAAAACTGTTTTCTGAACCTAGATTTCAAGTAATTAGTCCTATTTTGAAATCCCATTTACTTCTCCACCCTTCCTGATTAGCTATAGATTGGGGCAGGGTATTTAATTTACCTAAACCTCAGTTTCCTCATCTGTAGAATAGGCCTAGTGACACCTGTCTTGGAGAGAGTATTGAGGAGCCTTGAGGAGGATGTGGTCTCAGACCCAGCAGTGTCCATGTTGTTGAGACTATGATGTCCTGAGACTATGGGGAAGATGTTACACTATTGAATAAAAAGTGCAAGTCTGAGCTCGGGAAAAATGTCAGACCTGACGAGAGATGAGAATCATCAGTAAAAATGTGGTTATTATTTTAAATGTTCACCCTGTTTGCTTTTTTAAAACTATAACTAGTTTAATGAAACTATTAACTAGAGTTGATCCTTGAACAACACAAGGGTTAGGAACGCCAACCTCCTGTGCAGTCGGAAATCCGAGTGTAACTGCTGTAGTTTTCCTGGCATAATGCTCATGAGTTCAAAATGTACGTACAGTGTGGAATCGAAAACCAGGAGCAGCATCCTAGAAACCTTGGAAATGCCCACCATGGCTTGCTGGCATGCCTCCTCCCAGACAAAGTGGTTCTGGTGCTATTTATAATCGAAAAAGTGGTACTTTACTTAGGTCACCCTTTCATTAATGTGTTAAATATTTAAAACCAAAAACCAAACGATATTTTTCAAAGCAGTGTCAACAGTATACCTCCAGCAGGAAATGTGTTTCAGATATGGGGTGATGGGAACCTGTAACAAACAGGACCGTGTGGATGAAACACAATAGGTTCTCGTCTAGTGGTTGGTCAGTAAAAGCCACTAATGAACAGGCAGGCATTGTGTAATACAGATGTTTTGGTGTAATACAGATGTTCTTCTGCTCGGCATCGGTACTGTCTTTTTTCACCTTACCCCTAACACAGTTAGGACGCGTCTTCCATGTTACTCTGCCGCTCTGCACCTTCAGACCCCTCTCACTCCCTGCCTGGCAAATGGGCTTACACTTGTACATCTCTATGGGGTGGTGAGTGGGGAGGGCTATGGTTTACTTACGTGCAGATATGCCTGCTCTTCAGTCCCCAGAACCAGTAAGTTATTAACATAAAAATTTTGTGCAGAAAACAGGGTAGAGCAGGAGCCATTTTCACAGTGGGAATCATTTTAATACCTACAGTGTTTTCCAAATACTTATGTAAGAGGACTGAGTGGAAGCCGCCTTTCAGAAGTCCTGGTGAGTTTCTGACTGTGATGCACTAGTTAAAATTCACCAGAGGGAGTTAATTTTGAAAGCTCTCGGCCAGGGGTTAATGCAGAGTTATCTTTTAGCTGTTTCTGTAGCACAGTCCCCCCTTTCTGCCTTTCTGCCTCTCTTCTCTGCTGCACACACAGGTCAGGTCCAGCACTGGAAATGAGCCATGTTGGGGCTTCACATGCAGATGAGGGAGATAAGCACACCTTATTCTTGGAAGGACTTACTCCCAGCCCAGTACTCTACCGTGTGCTATCCAATTTTATATATATAATATACATATATATATATATATATATATATATAATTTTTATTTTTAATAGGCAGGACAGGTATTTTTCAGCCAATTTAAAGGATGAACAAATTGAGACAAGAATAAATTAAGTTACGAGGATATAGCCTTTACTTATTCGTGTATAGGTTTTGGGGGAAACACTTAAAATCTTGACATGCACACAGGTAACAGACGCCCGTAATACACCTGGTCCGCACCCTGTCCTTGACTCCATTCATAGGCTTCATCCCATCCCGAGGCTCCCGATTGTTTATGTTTGTCACCTTGACCTTCCCACCCTGGTCCGAGGGTTTGGTGACTACGGTTAGTTTTTCCATCTGTAAAATGGGGGTATGAGTAGTCAGTCCCTGCCTCGGACGCTGTTATGATGCTTACATGAGTCGGTGCACGCACAGCCCTTGCGTCAGTGCCTGGCATGTCCTAGCACTGCTCAGTCTCCACCATCTGTATGGTCGTACAGGGTGGTGTCTCCTACCTTTCTCACATCATGACACGGAACAGTGAAGCTGCTTGTCCTCGGCCTGCCCTGCCGCCCTGAGGATAGAGAGGGTGGACACCTGGGGAGCCGGTGAGGCCATCATCGCTCGTGGGCAGAGCTTGGCTCGGGAGGCTCTGACATGGGACGGGCTCAGCTCAGCAACAGCACAAGGAACTTTTGAACACACTACTTTGTCATAAGAGAAAATATTATTGCATTTTGACCCAATCATGTTTATTCCTACTCAGTATCTCCCATTTTAAAAGTGGCTGTGTCTAAACAGCTATGTGAAACTGTCCTTTATGGAGCAGACAGACTAGACCCCAGGACTTCTGAGTTTGAATCTCATATTCTTTCCATGCTACCCAAAATGATGAGGACTAGAGCTTTCCAGATTCTATTAAATCCCAGTTTAACAATAAGTACTGTAGTTAGGTAACTCACTTTTTAAAAGCTGGGAGTGAAATACGCTCTATTAGGAGCTTATAGGTAGGTTAGCTCCTGATGATGAAGTGAAGTTTTAGCTTAGTAGTGGAAAGCTATAGCAATTTGTTCAAAATCTGGAGCATAATTATGGAACAGGTTCTAATTATCACTACAAGGCAATCATATTATGTACAAATGTATCAGGTTAACATGTTGTACGCCTTAAATTTACACAATGTTATATGTCAAAATATATTGCAATAAATAAAACCTGGAGCCCAATCACAAACTACTGTAAATTTGTGAGACAAAGCAACGCACAATCTCCTTGCTATAAATAAATTTATGTTTATATTTGGTTCTCATCTGGCTGTGGGGATTCAGAAATAGAAAAGGACTTGTTTTGTGCCCCCAAGGAACACATGATGAGGTTGACTGGAAACAGCACCAGAGGAACAGGTGCCAACACCCCCAAGACCCTCCCCTCATACACCTGAGAGCAGCCAGCTGCGCAGGTCTGTGGAGCATAAAAAGCAGGGCTGCTTCCTTAGCACCAGGAGCAGTGACCCAGCCAAGGTACCGCCTTTTAAGGTAACACAGTCTGCTTTCTCCTTCACCCTGGACGTCCTAGCATCCTAGTGTCTGTATACCGTCAAGGACAGAAAAGCTAAGGGACACAGAAATTATTCATGAGGCCTTGAATTTCAGCACTGGAAATGCTGAATTTCAGCTCCACTACTAGAAGGCTATTAAGAAACAGAGCGTGTCTATGAACTGTCATTTAGAAGCTTACAGGACAGGCATACCTCATTTTAGTGGGCTTCGCTTTATTGCACCTCACAGATGTTGTGTTTTTTTTACAAATCGAAGGCAAGACCCTCCACCAGCAAAAAGATTGCGACTTGCTTATTGCAGTTCTCGATTTATTGCGGTGGCCTGGAACCAAGCCTGCAATATCTCCAAGGTCTGTCTATACCGGGCCATTTTTAAGTTGATAGTGTTACTTATTAAAGTCTTTAAAGCTTCAAGGTCTTCATTTGAAGAGAGATGAATTAACAGAGAGAAAGGAGACTACAGCCTCAGAAACCTATTTAACATATTGACCTATTCTAATCATTGACTGCTCTGAGTGGGTTGGCTTTTTTCGGTTTTAAAGGCTACTCCATTTCTGGTAAACCACAAGGTAGAGGCTGGTCTCCGAGAAGCAGATGTTTTACCAGTTTTGAGGCCTTGTGGCTTTCCATAGGGAAGTAACAGTGCAGGCCACATGAAGCTTTTATTTCCTTTTTTAAAAAAGGGGAGCCAGTGGTGCTTTGCACTTGATAGCATAGCGAGTGAAAGACATTCCAGAAGTCCTCTGTGTTCACCACCAGATGTCAACTTCATAGTTCTGGAAGTAGTTAGGTTGAAATGTCTGAGACATTCAAACAAGCATTCCCGCTGGGCTTGGCCATAGATTTAGCCTTAGAAATGGTCATGAGAATCCTGGATGATACTTAGAGCCAAGAGTGCAGTGGGAGATAGATGGGAGGGAGTTTGGAGAACAGAAAACCTAGAACAAAGACTCCAACATTTAGAGGTTGAACAGAGAGAGAATTAAGTCAGGTGATATGAGGAAAATCAGGAGAGTTTGGTGTCATGGATCGAGAAAGTCAACTGTTATCTGAATTCAAAATGGACCCTTTGACTTTTACCAGTCTGTTGCCACTGTGACCGCCCTAGCCCAGGCCCTTGTCATCTCATGGTTTGTTTCACTTATCTATCAAACTTGGGAGCTCCAACTGCCTAATTCTATAGGGAGGCAAAGTGGTGTAAGATACAATGCCTGTCTTTTCGGAGCTTATAGACTATCAGTATATGAGACCTTATACTCATAAATGCCGAGTAATGGGAGGGAATGGTCAGGGAAATCTCAGTTTGGAGTGGGAGGGACGGATCTCATTTTGAACTTGGGTTTGATGTAAACTGGAGCCATTTTGGGTAGGCTGTTGAGAGTAGTAGAAGAGATACTCGAGTCTGGTGATCACACAGTTGCCGCATGGGCCAGTGGCGTCTGGTTGGAAGGACAGACAGGGCGGGGTCCTGGGGGGCCTGGGATTCAGGGCTGAGGGGTGTAAACACCAGCCTGAATAGGTCAGAGAGCCATTCCGTAGGTAGGGGCAGAGAGCAGGAGTATAGGACTCATGATGAAATCTCTGGCTTTGACAAATTCCTTGCAGAGGCTTGTGAGTGGCTGGATGGGGGAGGTGGCTTCACAGGCTAGCTAGTAGGAAAGGGGGGTAAGGGCGTGGCCTGGGACAAGCACTTGAATGGGCAAGGACAGAGGGCACTGAAAGACCTTTCTTAGGAAGGACACTGAGGACTTGGTGATTTGATGTTGGCGCCAACAGAACAGGGCAGAGTCACAGATAATGGTGCCAGGACTGAAAGTCGTTACCCCGTAGACTCTTGTCCAGTGTGGTCATGCAGGGCATGGATTCTGGAGCCTGCGCTTGAATTCTGCCCTTGCCTCTGAGGAGTTGAGTGACCTTGGTCTGCTTCCATAACCACCTGTGCCTCAGCTTCCTTGTCTGTCAAACGGAGATAATAATAGCACTTATTTTTAGGTTGTGAGGATTTTGAATTAATACATTTGAGGCTTCTGGCATATAGTAGTTACTTAATAACTATTAGTTGAATGGATGATGCCCAGAGGATTCTGTCATAACATGTAGAAAAGTTGGGATCTGAACACATTTCCTCGGCTCTCCCCACATGACCCTGACGTTCCAGAGTCGGCCTTTCTCAGACGCCACCTCCACTGTGTCGGCCTCTCCCAGTGGACCTGTTCTGTGTGTCCTCTGGCTTCAAGCCCACGTTGAGATTGCATGGTCCTGGCATTCCACCACCTGACTCAAGCGGATCACCCACCTAAACTTTGTAGACTCTCCTCTCCTATGACCCACTTCCCCTCCTCCAGCTCAGCCTTTCATGGAGGGCCTTCCGACCCCCCTCCAGCTCTGCAAGGGGCCGTCGGTGCGCTGGCCAGTGCCTCACTGGGGCCTTGGTGCAGACGTGCTGGACGGCAGCCCATCCCTCCGCTTGATCCCCTTGCTGCACTTCACTGCTTTAGGCTTGCTCTCTGGTTGTTCTGTAATGACTTCACACACATTTATCTTACCTGCTAAAAATGAACCACAGTTTTAATAAAGGTGCATGGCTACTTTTAAGTTCCTCCCAGTGCTGGGTGCTCAGTAAATACTTAAAGAGTAGGTGGAGAAGCATTCATTCTCATGGCTGAGGTTGAGTTTACACCCTCCTCCTCTCACACCTGGGTTATCTCACCAGCCTCTTTAACTGGTCTCTGGTATGGTAGCCAGTGTGCCCCTAATCCGTGCCTCGGCCACAGCCATGTCACCACTGGAGCAGTCCTTGTCCGGTCTTTTCATGAGACGCTCTTGCTTAAACTTCTCTTGGGTCTACAGTTAGGACCACAACCGGCCTAAAAGGCGCTCTGCTACCTGATCCTCTCCTGCCATTCAGTCTTATCGGCTGGCACTCCTTTCTGCACACCCTGTCCTCCTTGCAGTTCCCAGAATGTTCTGTATGCCCTTCCTGGCGGCCTCCTCTGCTGGTAGCCCTGCCGGAGCCCACCTGGCAGGCTCCTGCTCTTCCTTGTCACTTCCTCTAAGATACCAGCAATGTAGGTTGCTTCCTCCTCTTAGCCCCACCCACCGCCCTTTGTTCCTCTGATGCTTTTCTAAAGGGCCCAGAGATTGATCTGTTTACCTGTCTGTCTTGGAGCTCCTTGAGGGCAGGGCAGCCTCGTTTCTCTCCTTTTCACTGGTGGAGATGTCTTGCACGTAGACTGGGATGCGCGTCGATCAGAAGAAAGATACTTTTGTCGACTACCAGAGGTCACTCTTCTTCAGACTAGAGGAGAGCTTGCTTCTTTTCTGTGCCTTGGCAGACTTTTCCTTTGAACTATACGAATTATATTGAAAACTGACAGTGATGAGTCATATCTTAGAAAGGGATGAAAACCGAAAATACAGAGCCTCTAGGAATGGAGTAGGAGGCTGCAGATCTGTCTTGCAGGCCAAGCCTGGCGCTTCCCTGAATTTGCCCGGCTGGTCTCAAACGCGAGGAGTGGGAGGGACTCTCCTCCCGGTGGGCAGGTGATTTATTGGCTGGGAAGCTTCTGCGGCGATTTAGTTGTGAAACGGCGCCCTGTGAGGTGCAGGCTAATGCCTGGGCCGCGCGGGAGCGGCCGCCCACAATCTCGGGCCGGAAGGAACCGCGGGGGTCGTTGGGGCCAGTCCCCCATTTCGCAGCCCGGGGGTGGTGGATGTGCGGCCGTCGCGCTGGTGACCCTGCTGCCGGGAGGGAGGGTGGACTGGAGACGGAGCGGCCCGAGAAGGGCCCCTAGTGCCCGCCCGGCCGGCCGCAGCCCCGCGGGCTCCCTCTGCTTACTCTCGCCGCGGTAGGGAGGAAGTTTCTGTGCTTTGCTGCCGGGATTTACTCCTGTTCGGAAGGAGGGAACCGAGATATCAGCGCCCGGTCTCGTGAGGCTCTGGCGTGGGCCCGGCGCAGAGCCCCGGGTGGGGGCCGGAGTGCGGGGCCGGCGGGCAGCGCGGCGATCCAGGCCGTCTTTTGCAGCCGCCCGCGGTCGCGCCGGGCTCTGAGCCCCGCGCTCCAGCCTCCTCCCCCGGTGGCAGCGGTGGCCCCAGACCCGCGCCTCCCGCATCCTGCGCCCGCGCGGCCCCGCCGTGGTCACACGCCGAGCACCCCGGCCGCCTCCGCCCTGCGCTTTGTGGAGCCGGAGCCCGTCAGGAGCCCAGTGACAGGCGCGGCCTCTCGCCGCCCCCAGCCCTGAACCCTGAGTGCGCTCGGCGCCGGTCCGCCGTACCTGTGGCTGCCGGGCCGCCCGCGCCGACCCGGCCGGGAGGTGCCGCGGGGGTCGGCCACGCGGGACTGGGCTCCGAGCCCCGAGCCCCGAGGTAGGGGGGCCGGGGGAGCTGGGAGCTCCCCCGACTGGGGCGGGAACGGGCTGCCCGGGAGGAATGGGACAAAGTGAAAGTCTCCAGACTGCTAAGGAAATGGGGCGGGGGGCAGTGAGGGGGACATGGGGAACGAGGAAGGGTGCTGACGGTTCTTTATGTGGGGCCTTGGAGAGTCTTTTAGTGACAGATGGCGGGGCAGGCCCCTGGGGTTCGGGCCCCCAGTGGGCTTCCGCAATATCGGTGCCTGCCGGGCGAATTCCTCCGATGAACGAAAGGGCCCTTTAACCCTCAGTGGTGCCCTCCTGGAGAAAAGTGTCCAGCTTTGGTTCTGTTTCCTCCTTCCGCGCGACCCTGGGGGAAGCCTCGTTCTCAGGTGGAAAGCAGTTGTGCTGTTTTCCTGCAACACGGAGCCCATCGTATTTGTTGTTTATCCCTTGGTGGACCAGTGCGCAGACCGGTGGCCCAGAGGGCACGGATTGCTCCTTAGCCTCAGACACAGGGTGTCCTTTCCTTAAACCTGTGCGGGGCGTGGGATTGGGGCTCTAATGAAGGCTGTCTGGGGGGCCTGACCGGGCCCTGGGGCCCAGATCTGCTGCTGAAATACCCCCAGCCCCCGTCCACATTCCCTGGCAAGACTTTTTTGTGGTTGTTATTCTGCTGATTGCAGATATCTTTTGCTTTGCTGACATCCTGTTTTGTTTTCGGTTTTTACATACCATTTGTTGTTTCTTTTTATCACAGAAACGTTTCGTTAAGGGGCTCCGGCAGTACGGCAAGAACTTCTTCAGAATTAGAAAGGAGCTACTTCCCAATAAGGAAACAGTGAGTACAATTGGACTTTATGTAACTTGAGTTTTTTCCTCTTTGCTCCTGCTGCTTCTCCGCACTTGATCTTATGAAATGGTTTCCTTTAACCCTGTCCTGTGCTTAGACTCGGCCAGGCCTCTATGATCCTGTTCACTTCCTTCACTTTTAATTTGAGCTGGTGATTCTAGATAGTAAAGTGACAGATTATGCTTACCCACCCCTCCAAGAAAGTGAACTTCTGTTATAAGAACAGAAAGGTCTTTGGCAACAGAAGATAAGTTGGGGGAGAGTGTGGGGTGTTGGGGAGTTAACATCTAATTTTAAATACAGTGGCTGAAATAGGAAATGTCACTTATCACTAGTTCAGATTTGGTTGATGTGGTTTGTAACTCATATACTTTGAATTCTGTTGGGACTTTTTCTATATTTAGTGTCGCTCTGTTTTGAAGAGTAGTTTTAACTCTTAAATTTTCTAGCCATAAAAGTTTGTACTTTTCATTTGATGAATACACGAGGATTCTTATAGATACCTTACATGAGATTTTTAAAAATTCCTTTGATATTTCACAAAGCTGAGCGTCAGATCTGATGAGTACTCTTACTAAACTTGGGGTAGGGGGTTTTGCTGAGGAACTTCAGAGTGAAATTATATGGAGAGAATATTAGCAAGGGATTCGGTTTCATTTATCAGTTATGTCCTACAGGTGCTATTGGAGGAGTGTGAGGGAGAGCCCTCTTCTGGCCAGGCCACTTCCCAGTATCTGTGGCTAAAGTAGAGCCCCACTGACCAGCAGTGCTCCCCAGGACTGGGGTGGGGTGAATATTGAGACACTTTCTCCAGGAGTGAAAGGAGGGCATAGGAGGGGGAGGTGGGTGAAGGATATTCATTATAAAAGTAGGTGGGTGGTTCCGTTGCATTTTTTTCTAATTGGGTGTTTATTGATTTCCTTTTATTCGGTTTTGATTCTTTTATTCTGTTTTGTTTGTTGATGAACTGTTAAAGCCAATCTGGGCACTTTTTCGGTAAAGTATACCTTAACAGCAATAGCTCATAATAAGGAAGACAGGTTCTGAGATTTCAAGTATTGCCTCCAATAAATTGATGGTTTGCATCAATCAATCATAATTAGATGAAACTTTTAATATTTATTATACATCTTAATATGATGAGAAATGGGTCATTTTGAGAATGTTAAAAAAGTGAAAACTTTTTACAGACATTAAAATATGTAATCAGTCAATAAAACCAACTTGTTTTTTGCTCTTTCCAGAACAGATAGGAAAAGTGGTATTCCGTAATGTAGAACAGTGCAAGAAATTCTTTTAAATTTTCTGAAGATTTCAGTTATTTGAAGTTTGATATATACTTTTAAAAGCTAAAATGCCTTTACCCAAGTGTAGGAATTTTGGTTTGGCAAAATTTGAGTGAAAATAGAGAAATCAGTGAGTAGATTTGACCTGATGTGATGGACCCAGATCATAACCTCTCAGCTCAAGTTTTAGCTGTGCTCTGCAAAAAGTTGCAAACTAGAGAATTTGATGTATCACTCAACAATTATTTTATCTTTCTGTTTTATTTTTTTATTTTTTTTTAAGATTTTATTGGGTAATTGGGGGAAGGAACAGCGTTGGAGAATCGGGGAAGGGGAACAGACAAGTTGCTGTCCTTTTGTTCTTCAGCCTAGTTGTGGAGGACGTTGCTTCACTGGCCAATGTTGGTATTGTCATTGCGCTCTTCCCGGGTGAGGCAGATCGGCCGCCGGCCATTGGATGCCTCTCATGGCGGCTCACACCAGCTGCCGGCCACTCATGCTGGCTGCCGGCCACTCACGATAGCTTACGGCAGCCCACTGCAGCCTACACCATCGCCAGCAACTCAAGGCAGCCCAGCTCCAGGTCTAGCTGTCGTTCACCATCTTAGCTGTAGAGGGCGCAGCATCACTGGCCCACATGGGATCCAAACTGGGGCCCTGCTGCTCAGAGGTCGCGTTCCCAAGCCAACTCTTAACCAACGAGCCACTCAGCCAGCCCAATCTTTCTGTTTTAAAACCTAAATTTATAATAGCAAAAATTAAGCATTAAATTTAAAATCTAGTGGCTGGTATTTTGAAATCCTAGTTCTATCTAGAGTTTTATTTCCCCAGTGGAAATGGATCTGAGTAACCTTTAACCTAGGTAAGGGTCTTTGAGTCTGTTTTTCTTCTTGCTCTTGGTTGTCCCTTATTCTTACTGATGTCAAACCCAGTAAGTAGTCTTTTCTCTCCCACAGTGAAGTTTGTGTTTACCATCCTTTTGAGCTGGTTCTCTGGTCTTTTCCAGATGCCTCTTTCCTGAGACCCTTCACCATCACCTCTCTGCCATCTCAGTTTCCCAGTCACCTGGTTTCCTTCCTCACTTTTCCTCTGGCACCCAGCAGTCTTCCTGTTTCTAACCTCTTCATCAGGGTAGGACCATCAGAGCTAATGGGGGAGTTGTCTGCGACGCTGGAAGATTTATTATGGCCAACATGGCTAGTCCTGGTGTCCTGCTGTCTTTTGCATAGGCTCGGAGGAATTTGGTAGTAGGGTAAACCTGCAAGTACTCTAATCAGGTAGGAGAGGCACTCCTCTTATATTTTCCTTAGCTATCAACAAAGGCAAGCTAATCATTCACAACTCATAGGGAAGGGAGGGCAAAGGTTATTTTTCACTTTTGCTGCAGAAGCTGGAGAAATATGCAGGCACCAGTGTTCTTGGTTGGAAACTTCTTTAGTGGAAATCTTCATGTGTTCATGCCTCTTTTTATAGAAAATCTGTAGATACTTTCCATGTTCTCTTCTCTTTACCAGAATTACTAACTCATTTCTTTGCTATTCTGAACTGACTTGAAACTTCAGAAGGGTGTAAGCATCCAAAAGCCACGCCTGATTGGGCATGGGCAGAGGGTCAGCAGACCTGTGTTCTATTCTTGGTCCTCCCCCTAACGCTGGTACTTGATGATCTCTCTTAACTGCAGTTGGCTTTGAGCTGTTGGTTGGGGAGTTTAGGATTGGGAAATTATCTTCTCTAAAATGGTGTTTCTTTGTATGAGAATGTTATAGGAGGTGCTGCATACAATCTTCGTAAGATGTTTGTGCATCTTTGGCTGTTGCTGTGCCTGGGAGCAAAGAGATGGTTCTTGTCTCCTCTGCCACTTACCTGCTATGGGGCCTTGGGCAGATTGTTCAACCCTCTGTCCTTTCCTGTCTGTGCCTGTAAAATGGGGTGATCCTCCTACCCCTTAAAATAGTTTTGAGAATTTAAATGAGATAATGTCTATAAAGAGTGCATAAAAACACTTGAAAATGATTGCTCTTCCCACCTACCCCAAATACTACATAGAGTAGCTAAATGCTGTGAAAGGACAGAATTATTTTGCACTTGTAAACAAATTGAATCTATATATAAAGAAATCACCTGTTGTATTAATCTGTCTTGCCAAAAACACCTTTAATTGAAAAACTGGGTGGAGGGCAGTGCCTAGTTTAAGGAATGTGTTTTCTTGGTCTTGAAGCTTTGTTGAGGAGACTTCCATTCTTACCAGTTCATTCGGTGCAGTTGTGCAAACAAGGGTTCCTGGTGAGCATGACATGTACAGCTTTCCCAGCTCTTTTGATTTCTGGAGTTTATTAAACAGGAGCTAAATCTGGCTTTTCTCTTGAACACTGCTGCCCACTGAAGTGGGAATAGAGGCTGTGAGTGTGGAAAACCAACTGTTTATGGAGATTTAGTTGAGTGGGTATTCCATGTTCACCTCATGGTACCCAAGAGAATACCTGCACGTCAAATACCTTAGTGTCTTGGCTGCACAGATATGCTGTAGCTTATTGTCTTTCTCTATAACCATTTGCCTCTGTCAATATGCTTATAAGATGTGTAACTAGTAGTAAATTACGGTAAGGAATCTTGGCCAAGCACCTCAGATTCCCCCTGGCTGTGTACTTCTCTCTCAAGACAGTGTTTGGCCTAAACCACATCAGTGTCTTGGATGTGAGTACATTTGTGTAAATCACAGTGAGTGTCCCATAGCTGAGATTCTGAGAAGATGACCGGAACCAGACCTCCTGGGTTCTGCTTTAAGCGCTTCCAGGTACTCTGGATTGATGAGTTACATGACCTTTGATGCTAAGGCAATGACTGGAAAAATAGGAGACAAAAGAGAGTTGAATCTTAATTATCAGGAGGGGAACCCATGCTATGAATAATATGAAATCATGGGCATTCCAAAAATAGTTTATTGTTTGATTTTTATGCACATTGCCGTTTTCTTCAAAATCATGAGATGATTACTCAGGTGACAGTGACATATATCTTCCTTCACGCTGAGGACATGTTTATGTTGTTTGAACCAAAGACATCCGTATCTGACACCTGGGTGATTGTCCCTTGAATCCTGGCTGGCCTTTGTGTGTGGCCCTGTCTGCTGTGGCACAGACAAATTGAGCCACATTGGCTCATAGACAGGGAGCACTTAGTGACCTGTCTCAGATGCAAATAACATCAATGAGAAGACAATTTGATCTGCTCCGACTTGGGAGAGAGAAGAGGTGCCCCCAAAGTTGTGATCAGCCTCTGGAGGGAGAAGGTGAAAAGGCGTGTGTGCACCCTTAGCTATCTTTCTCAACTCGGTGGTTTTATTTTTGAACGCCCCGTCCAATAGAAATTAAGCTCATGTTATCTATAAACCCAGTTGCTGGTGCATTGGTATTTGCTACACTGGAAATTCCTTTTCACCCACTGAGCACTGTTAGGAGTGGGGTGAGAAGCAAGGTGCCCACCGTGCCCTGCAGGGAGTGGCATTACAGCAGGGAAGAGGGATCATGTGTGTGGCTGCCATGTTTGGCAGGATGTGCTCAGCACCCTGGTTCAGGCCCCTCAGAGTTAGCACAGGGGCTGAGGGCTTCTGGAAGGCTCTTTGGAGGGTGTGGTGTTTGAACTGAACTTTGAAGGAAGGGTATGGCTTTTGACAAGCGGTGGTTGGGAGGGAGAAGGAAAAGT